AAGAAAACTATCTTGTAAAAACAAGAAAACTATCTTGTAAAAACAAGAAAACTATCTTGTAAAAACGAGAAAACTATCTTGTAAAAACGAGAAAACTATCTTGTAAAAAACGAGAAAACTATCTTGTAAAAACAAGAAAACTATCTGGTAAAAACGAGAAAACTATCTTGTTATATCAAGATAACCATCTCGTTATAACGTGTTATGGATTCTTCTGGTTTGTCACTTTCACGGACATTTATTGCCTGGATGGCGTGATGGAGAACATGACTGAACCGCTATATAAACAAAAACGAACAGAATTATTTGGATTTGTGCTCGGACGTTGCAGCTAGTAGCACTTCTTTAGCAATATTCACTCTCTAATCTGAATTCAGACATTATTCAGTACTAACTTGTCATTTTTTAGTCTAGAAATGTTTTCCTCTTGCAGATTTCTTCTTCGTATAAAGGCAAATAGTGGCTCAGTCGTGTTCTCTATCACGCCATCRAGGCAATAAACTTCCATGAAAGTGACAAACCAGAAGAAACCATAACATGTTATAACGAGATGGTTATCTTGATATAACAAGATAGTTTTCTCGTTTTTACAAGATATTTTAGTCGTAATAAAGACATATTTTCTCGTTTTCACGAGCTAGTTTTCTCGTTATAACAAGATCCAGTTTAAAACTAATTTCATGACATGTGACAGCTCTACACTTCCGTACATAATGGCTCCCTTCTGTATTCATTGAAGGCATTATGCTGTCGTTTTGAAAGTGAAATAGATCAAACTAATATTTGTTTTCATGCAGAAATTGGGTGAAATTGTTAACAGAGTCCCAAATAAGTCATGTTTCACACATTTAAGCTTCAAGTCTGGTCAAACAAAGAGGCATGCTTTACTGCACAGAATATGATGCAAAGTTCGTATCATTGAAGTATTCTAAAAAATGTTAACATTTGTTTGTGCCTGCAGACAACATAGTATTTCTATTTTCCATCTTAGATAAAAATGTCAATGATTTTCTCTTCCAGGTGTGATTGTGAGACGGGATTCTCTGGCCTTCGATGTGAGGAAGACGTCAATGAGTGTGCCTCCAACCCTTGCAGCAACGCTGGCGTCTGTCAGGACCTTGTGAACATGTAAATATAAATTTAATTTATGTATTAATGTATTTGTGTTTATTTACTTTTGCTTTTGACTTTGCACCTCAGACATTTCTTTTCATTTTGTAAGAAAGTGCRCATATCAGTAATGACAATTGAATTTAAGTTTCTTTTGAAGGACGAACTAACAAAACTGTTTTGCAAAGAAAACGCACAAGGTTGTGTAGGTTCTCTTCAAAGTCTTCCCCTTTATATAACGAGCCTGTCTTTCTTGACACACATGAGCTCCCTTTCTAAAGACGGAGAGCAAATTCAGCAGAAACACATCATGTATCTCGATTGGTCTTTGCTTCCACCGGTGTTTCTCTCTGCTGTGTTTAATGGGAGCCCCGGGGCTTCCGGGCTCAGTCGGACAGATGGGTTGAGAAGTCCCAGGGCTAATTTAAGTCCTAAATGGTTTGTCTCCTGTTATGATTTTGTTCCTGCGGGACCTGGCCCTCCTCAGAGCACTCCCCCTTGTTGCACAGTCCTGGAAGTTCACATCAGGTGGGCTTTAAAGCTGCCTATTCTACGCCTCCGTCTCCAGCTTCGTCTCCCTGATCTGAGCAAAGTCAATTTCAGCTGCTGTGATGATGACTCACACCGTGCCATACTCTTTGAGCCCTTGCCAGCTTGTATACACATCCTATTTCTTAAGATAGTCTGAACTTGGCTCCAGGAGAGTGAAACACAGACACTGTGCGCTGGTATAGCATTGCTAAAAGCAGTTTTTTATAATTTCTCCTAAAGGTAGATCTGCCATGTTACATGACAAGACAGCATTGTTTCGTTGATTGTGAAAATGATAGAAGACCGTGATAAATAAATTGTTTGGATTTTACCAAGGAGGTGGCTAATTTCTTCTTATTACTTAGTCTGAAACACAATAACTGTCTCCACTGAGATGTCTGGTTATGTGAAATTAGATTCAGCAAGGGATTGGAATTGAATGTGTCTTATTATTGGAAGATTGAGCTTTTCCCTAAGTAGTAACCCATTTAGCATCATTTATAACAACATACACACTGTGAAAATAAAATACTGTCATATTATTATCAACTGCTACTAAAAACTGAACTTGGCTAACTTCGGTGGATTTCAAACATTCTCACACAGAAAGAGACTGTGGGTATTTTGTAAGTGTGTCTGTATGACCGTTTTTATTGCGATAAAAAATAAATACGATTTCTTAAAGGTGGGGTATTATGCATTTTCCAGGCATATTCTATACCACAATCAAACTATAGCCATGTTTCCATCCAATTGTAACGCAAAATTTGAGCAAACCTTTAAAATGTTGCAAAAAAGAAGAAAAAAATGAATTAGTTGTGTTTGGATCGAATCAACCAGGCATTGCAAAGTGCAATTTCATCAGACGTAATAAACAGGAAGTAGAAAATGCAAACTTGCAGGGACCGCACATTTTGGGACAACGGAGAGAGGTTTTCAGGAATGTGTTGATATCGGGCAAGCTGTAATTGTTCTGTCATATCAGTTAGTATTGATGATGATTGATGATGTTACACGCTGTCCGAAGTCATAGAGAAAGAAATGCAATTCTTATGGGAATATTAGGGGAAGACGACGACAGGGGAAACAGGTGATCTCTCACGTGAGGTAAATGTTTGCTTTGTCAGAACTTATTCAACAAAAGTGTGTTCATGTCCCCTTCAGTGCATTAACTCTTAGGAAAATCCAAAAATCACCACAAGTGAGCGTAAAAACTTTTGTGTGAAATTGCAGGTTTTTTCAAATGTTGCCATTTCCTAATGCGATACTTCAAAATGCGCATAGAAAACGATGGAAGCACGGCTTATGAGAACTTCAGCTGTTATGAAAAAGCTGTATCAAAAAATAAATTTGACTTTGCATCATATAAAATTGAATTTTTAAGCCCCTCCTACTATTACCAACACTTCCTTTCCAGCACATGCTCACAACAATGCTTCAGGGGTGAGGTGCTCTGTGGGGCGGGAACTCTGCTGCACACTGAGCTCCGGGGAGGAGCTTTGTGTAAATAGGCGGTGCTTTGTACCAGCAATGGGTGTTCTTAAATGTAATTGCATTGTGCACCGCACAATGACAATAAATGCATCAATCAATCAAAGTGTTTAAACATCTTCACATAGCTACCACAGGAGATTCAAAGATTTCTCAAACGTATGGATGAGTCAAAACAACACTCTGGGTATGGTTTTGATTAGAGAATGCCATTATATCATAATATAGAATTAAGAAAAGTTGATTTTGCATTAAACCCTTCCTTTAAAGGCAAATAGGAATCAAGGATAAAAGCATGATATTGCTGTTTTTGCAAGATTTCGCCTCATTCTTGAATGAAGTCGTGTTCTCTCGTTCTCTTTAGGTTCCACTGCATTTGTCCTCCCGGTTACTTCGGAGTGCTGTGTGACCTGGACGTGAACGAGTGTGAAGTTTCACCTTGCCTACATGAGGGCATCTGTATCAACACACCTGGAGGCTTCAAGTGTGTCTGCTGGCCCGGATACACAGGTACCTGTTTTGCCCTTAGGTGACACCGAGATCAATAAAAGAGTCTAAAAGGCTTATCATGATGACTGCTGTGGCTCCGTGCGATCGAGGCAACTCTGACACAGATCTGGCTTCATGTTTGCGTGGGTGTGTGTGTGTGTGTGTGTGTG